ATCTGGCTCAAATTCTTATACTTGAGGATCATTATTGCTGGATATCCAGTCAGTTAAGATATCATATAAGAGCTGAATCACTGACAGGTGAAGAAATAACCATGTTTGACTGGTATTTATAAAAGAATTTCTCTACAAGCTTCTTTCTACTATAATGTCTCTGTTAGTAATTCAATTGATAGAGCCACCAAAAACCTCTTATACAATAAGAGAGGTGACATGGGATAGAGGGGTAGAGGGCTGGGTTTTTGCAATGTAACTGCAAGCTCTGATTTGGAAAAGGCATGGTAAAATGAGTGCAAACTTCAAGAATTACCATGAGTAGATGCACTAGGTATTTTACAGCAGTTCAAAGATGCAGGGATATATAGGGAGATACTGCTAATATACTCAGAGGTTTCCTCAAAATTAGCCAGCAGAATGAGCATTGCCTACTTGCAACTCTTGACAGACACTGTATTACCAGTTGCTCTATTTATGAGAGGAAAAATGCATTAGCTTCAAAAACGCAGAATCAATTCTGTTTTAGATGCTCTGTAAAGGATAACTTATGGAACCACAGAAAGGAAGGCAAGGCTGTTAATATAGATTTTGTCTTTATGCCCGAGGATGTGACCTCTCAATTGTAGATGTCAACTGTAAGCATACTCTCAAATATCTCCTAATAAAGTATAGGATCCATTAAAAGTAGAGCTTGTTATAGAGTATGATGAATGAGCAACAATAATAGAGTGGTCTAATGTTATATTATCCATGGTTGTTGATGCTAACAAGTTTTTTTCTTTGGTAGTATTTATACATTCAAAAGACTACTCTCTGGGAAACAGCTATGTTGATAAAGTACTTGTTTCCCTTGCTAGCATGGTGACTTGAGTTGGATCCCTAGAAACCACCTAAAAAACCTGATGCTGTGGCGCCCTTCTACTAATTCCAGTGCTGGAGGGACAGGAACAAGAATATTCTACCAGCTCACTAGCGAGCCAATCTAATCTACTGTGTGTTCTAAGTCACTCTGAAGCTCTATCTCAAAGTAAGATGAAGGTGCTCCTGAGAAAGACATTTGAAGCTGTGTTGTGAACTTCAAACATGCTTGAACATGCATGCATGCTCACACACACACACACACACACACACACAGACATACACAGAGGCAAGTGTAAACATGAACTACATAATACACATATAGAAATATTGCTTAATTCGATGCAAGGAAGAAATACTGCTAAATCAACATCTTTGTTCTAATAAGTACACAAAAATCAAATGTAAATTATGAATGAATAACAATATACTGAATAAAGATATACTACGTGCTCATGAGTTCCTGTAACCCAAACTGTGACTGACATTCATCACTATTCACACCTAGGCCTATTCATTAGGTGTCCTAGAATGCATGCCTCACAGGTAAGAGGAAATTATTTTTCTCAAATATTTGGTGAAACACCACTTTATATGTTGCTGTATTGTCTCAAAGCCAGTACTGCAACTTTTAGAGTTTTTATCAAAGTAGAATAATGTTTATAGTGGGTCTCATTCAGTCTTCTGAAGACTTTGAGAGCAATTCTGGGGAGCCCTGTTAGGGAGGCAGTTCAACTTTTAGGCATGGGCTGTAAGGGCTCAATGCCTTCGATCTGTAGCTCTCTAGTTTGCCCATAAATATTTAAAAACTGGTTTTTCCTCCACGACTACATGAGCTACTTTCTCAAAACCAAATTCAAAATATACATTCATCTACCCAATCTCTTTCCCTGGGGATTCTCAGAATGGGCCTTTTTGAAGAAAAATACACACTTTGAGTCATCAGCATCTTAACGATCCATGGTTTCCCTTTTACTATCTACAATTCTGGTCTTTTGTTTATCTGCATCTACCCTATTGACTGTGTATGAGTCAGAGACTCTCATTTGTTCCTGGGCAATGTTGTAAAAAGAGACCTTCAATATGTTTGAACTTAATCAACTATATATTTAAACAATGTTTCATTATATATTTAAAAACCTTAAGAATTAATTTTCAATTGATTAACATTAATGAAGGGAGGGTAAAAGCCTGCCTTTGCTGGATCTTGTGGTAGACTGATTTCATTTTCCTGAGGAACCACCATATTGATTTCCAAAATGACTGTACGAATTTGCTCATTTCTCTACATCCTCTCCAGCATAATCTGTCATTGATGGTTTTGATTGCAGCCATTCTGACAGGAGTAAGATGATATCTCAGAGTTGTTTTAATTTGCATTTCTCTGAAGGCTAAGGATATTGAGCACTTTCTTAAGTGTCTCTCAGCCATTTTAGACTCCTCTATTGAGAATTCTCTGTTTAGTTCTGTACCCCACTTTTTAATTGTATTATTTGGTGTTGTGGTGACTACCTTCTGTCAAATGTGGGGTAGGTGAATACCTTTTTCCACTCTGTGGGCTGATGTTTTGTCTTATTGACTGTGTCCTTTTCCATACAAAAGCATCTCAGTTTCAGGAGGTCCCATTTATTAATTTTTTTATCTCAGTGTCTGTGCTACTGGTGTTATGTTCAGGAAGTGGTCTCCTTTACCAATTCGTTCGATGATACCACCTACTTATTATCCTAAAAGGTTAGTGTAGCTTGATTTATGTAGAGGTTTTTGATGCACTTGGACTTAAGTTTTGTGCATGGTGATAGGTGCGGATCTATTTGCAGTCTTCTACATGCCAGCATCCAGTTATGCCAGCACCATTTGTTGAAGTTGCTTTCTTTTTTTCATTGTATAAATTTAGCTTCTTTGTCAAAAATCAGGTACAATTCCACTCTTAGGCATATACCCAAAAGATGCACATTCATACAATAAGGACATATGTTCAACCATGTTCATAGTAGCATTATTTGTAATAGCCAAAACCTGGAAGCAACCTAGATGCCCCTCAACTGGAGAACGGATGGAGAAAATGTGATACATTTACACAATGGTGTCCTACTCGGTGGATTAAAAACAATGGAATCTTGAAATTTATAGGAAAGTGGGTGGAACTAGAAGAAACCATCCTGAGTGAGGTAACCCAGTCACAAAAAGACTAAAATGCTATATACTCACTCATATATGAATATTAGACATAGAGCAAAGGAGTACCAGTCTACAATCCACACTGCCAGAGAAGATAGGATGCAAGGAGGACCATAAGAGAGACAAGCATGGATCCCTGAGAAGGGGAAAGGGATAAGATCTCCTGAGCTAATTGGGAGCATGGGGGGAGGGGAGAGGAAATTAGAAGAAACAGAACGGAAGAAGAGGAGAAGAGAGGAGGACAGGAGAGAGCAGGAAGATAGAGTCAGGGGAAGAATAGATGAGAGCAAGAAAAGAGATACCATAATAGAGGGAGCCATTATAAGTTTAATGAGAAATCTGGCACTAGGGAAATATCCAGAGATCTACAAGGTTGACCCCAACTAACAATCTAAGCGATAGTTGAGAGGTTCCCTTAAATGCCCTTTTCTGATAATGGGATTGATGACTACCTTGTATGCCATCTTAGAGCTTTCATCTAGTAGCTGATGGAAGCAGAAGCCGAGACCCATAGCTAAGCATTGAGCTGAAATCTGGATTCCAGTTGCAGAGAGGGAAGAGTGATAAGCAAAGGGGTCAAGACCAGACTGGAGAAACCCAAAGAAACAGCTGACCTGAACAAGGGCTTGCTCATGGACCCCAGACGGATAGCTGGGAAAACATCATAAGATTGTTCCAGACCCCCTGAATGAGAATGTCAGTTTGGAGGTCTGGGCAGCCTATAGGGCTTCTGATAGTGAATCAGTGTTTATCCCTAATACACGAATGGATTTTGGGAGTCCACTCCACATAGAGGGATACTCTCTCAGCCTAGAAACACAGGGGAGGGTCTAGGCCCTCTTCCAAATGATATGACAGAGTTGAAGATACCCCAAGGAAGACCTCAACCTCCCTGGGGAGCAGAAAGGGGATGGGATAGGGGGTCAGTTGGCAGCACGGGAGGAGGGGAGGGAGAGGGAACTGGGATTGACATATAAAAGAAGCTTATTTCTAATTTTAATTAAGAAAGGAAAAAATATGAAAATAAAAGTCTGTCATTATATAAAGCACATAAATTATATATTTTAAATTGACTAGGCATCTTCATTACAGGTTGTTTGGTTAAAGTTTTAATAGCTAAAAATTAAATTTATTTTTGGTTGTCTTAGTGCTATCTAAAACGTTTCATAATAATATCAGGTGTAAAAATTATTTCTAAATATGTCATATTTAAATCATTTTTCCATGGTATATGATGCAAGTTTACAAATATTTCTATATTTTTATTATATTTCATGATACTATTTCATATACTGTTATGATAATGGGTGAAGCCTTAACAATTTGATGTATATTATTAGATTTTTGCTTGAGTTTTAGAGTATGGATTTCTTTACCACAAAAACATTTAAACCATAATCTATGTTTTATCTAATTGGAAGTTTTAATTAATTAATGGAGTTCAAATCTCCCTTCCTTTTAGGCACACAAAAATATGCTTCCTAATGAATTTCAGGACTTTAAATACGTTTATTGGTCCTTAATAGATAATTCATTTCTATGGTTTTTTCTTGCTCTTCCAATGATGGGAAGAAATCTATAAAATAAAACTTCCTCAAATGAAATCATAAAATCAGGATCATAAAAATGACAGTATGTTACCCAGTATGAGAAAAACTTCGTTCTGTCTGCAAGAGAGCTCCCAAATGCAAGGGTGTAATGATAAGGTGTCTAAGAGAAGGAGGATGGAAAAGCTTCTTCCAATAGAATTGATGCTGCTTATTTTATTAGAAAGTTGACACAGGTTATCGCTGGTGTTTATGACTTGCAAGCTAAAGTATTTAATATTTATCATGTTTAAGTACAAGCAGCAGCCATTTAGTAATCAAAAGGAATGATTTGAATCATCTTAGGAAAATAAATTCATTATAATTAGGGTATTTCAGAACATGTTTAAAACATTTCTGAGAAAATGTATTCACCTTTCTTGTCATCGAAGTACAGAGTCTGTTGAGCTGGATTTGACCACTGGAGGGAGGTGTTATCATTTTGATCAACTCTGCAGGTCAAAATTGCGGTTCCGCCTTCAACAACCGTTACATTCTGAGTTAGTGGAAACTGCCCTTGGCTGCCTAAAAAGAGATTAAAGAGAATGTTGATTACATGAAAGTTATAAAATGATTAACTTCCCAACACCTACACTGGACACCAGGTTTCACTCAAAATAAAATTTAAACAAACAAAACTATAAATTACAAAAGGGAGAAAAGCCATTTAAATTCATTAAGACAACCCTAATGGTGCACCATTAAATGTTCCTTTGTATTTCCTTCTATTGATCAAAATATGTATCTCTCCTAGGCACACATGAAGATATACTCCAATAGTAACATGATAATCTTTAATTTCCCTTGGCCTAGAATTGATTATGTGGTGTTAGATGGAGTCATTGCTGAAGGAAGGTAAGGCAGAGAATAATATTGCATGAATTAAACTCTCTGCGGCAGCATAGGAAACACATAAAACACTTCACTGGTAGCTTTTTTATAATGTAGAACAACACATAATATATAAAACTAGAACTTTAGAGTGAATTTATGATAAAGGAAATGAAAAATGAATCCCACTTTAGTGGGGATCTTTATAGAGCTGTTTCCTGAAATACAAAACATTGGCAAAACAATGTGAATACTATAAAAAATATCCATTTTATAGACTATTCACTGAAACATTGCAAAAGCATGGTGTGGTGTACCTGCCAATTTAATTATTCTGGAAGCTGAAGGAGCCCCTGCATTCAATAACAATAGTAAGATATTTTTTCCACCAACACCAACAACTATACACACCCCACATGTGTGAGCCTGCATATTCGGTGGTTACCCAAGCAGACATTTATAGGTGCCTTGTTCATGTTTTCATAATAATTATCTTTATAACCAGAAGAATACATCTTCTTAAATTCTTCAATGGGTCATCCATTTGTATAGTGTCAGTATTTAAACAACTTTCCTATTTTCTCATGCATTGTATTCATTTTACCACAGAGGTAAAAATGGCTTACTAGAGCCAGGTTTAAAATGCTATTATGTGAGCAGGTTAGTTCATTAAGTCAAAATAATTTACATATTTAAGGACATTAAGATGCCTTAATCATACCCACAAAATATATTTCCTTTTACTTCTTTAGTTTGTGATGATTCTGTCATTACTCCAAGTACCACTTGAGGTTGCATGGGAGTCACAAGCATGAAGAAATTTATTATCAAGAAGCCTGTTGATTGGTATCAGAAGACACAGAAGGGCCTGAAAGGAAACATTTCATTCCAACCTTAAATGACACAGTCACAGAGGTTCATGACCATGTTACATAATTAAGACTTTTGAGTGTTAAAATCCTTTATCATGAGCTTTCCCTTCTCAATGCCAGCCCTTTCAAGTCACCATGACAACTCCCCAGGACACCTCCCTTTAATCCTTTAGATGAATTGTAAAATTGACATCAGAGTTTTTAATAGTATCTTCCTTGTAAAGTCAACAGGAACCATAATGGGCTGTGTCATCTCAGACATGACCTCTATGAATCCGGTAAAGCGAGTTGGGGTAAAAACCAAAATACACCAAACACACCAAAGCGAACATGAACTCAGATACAGAGAGGGACTTGCTTAAGATTATCAGCTCATTAATATGGAGTTCAGTACAGTCTTCAGGTGTTTTTCTTATATCTCCTGGTGTTAATATCATGCATAAATGGAGCAATCCCGGGAGGAGTGACACGTTAGTATCATAATGCTCACAACCGCTGATAAATATACATGGTTCACCCAGACGATACTTTGACTATCAACAAGTACATAAATAACACTGTCGACCTCTTTAAAGAATTCAGGGGGAAAAAGGCAGTGATGCTTGCAACAATTTTATCTACTACATTTGCAAAATAATTTTCAAAACATCCCCATAAGAAAATATTATCCTTCTCATTTCACAGATGGGTAAACTGACACTGGGAGGTTAAGTGATTTTTTTCCCCCATGGTGAAACAAAGTCAATGAACCTTTTGAAGTTATTCGGAAAGTTCAACATTATTTTCCTTCTCTTTCCACAGAGGCTGCTTGGTTATAAGAGCTCTGTAACCCTATGATGAAATGTGAATTCGACAACAAAAGGGGAAAAATCAATAATCATTTTTATAATGAAATTTAAAGTATAAAGTCAGATAAGAGAAAGGTCAATAATTACTGTACTTAACTCTTCTATGCTATACAAAAAATGAAGTTTAATCACAATTTCAATATTTAATTACTGACCCATAAAAAAGGAAAAAATTGGGATTATTTCCACATTAGGTACTGATGTCAGAACAACTGCATCAGAACCTTCAAGGGCAGACATGAGGACAACATCCCTCCAACATCTCCCCACAGTTTCTGACTTTAAGGTAGTATGATTTCAGTTCCCTAACTCTTGCAGCATAAAATCCTTGAAGTCAAATAATTTAGTTTTCCCAAAAGAGAGAAAACTCATGTGGAGAATCAACTAATCCTAAATACCCTTAGGATATGTGGTTTCCAAAATCAATTTAAAAGCCCGTGTTGCAGGCAGTCAGTCTTCTTCTCAGAGGTCTGAACTGCCATTTACTCTTGCTTCTCAGCAGGCTAGAACACTGAGTCCCTGGGACATTCCTCTTTTAAGTCCTCGTGACTCAACTTTGCCTTGCAATCTCCAGATGTCTTCCCAAAGGAGTTTTCTCAATTGGAAAGTGTCATATCATATCAAGTTTGGAACGTCTTCTCAGTTCATTTATCATGTGCATAGCATTGGGGCATGCTGCTTCCTTGTCTTTCATGAATCCACATTTGAAGGATGGATACAGGAAGAGAAGTTTGTTAATGAACCCCGCATGGTAACCTGAGAAAAACTGAAGGGAGGGAAGAAGAAACCTGGTTCAGTCAGTCCCGGTTTGGATTTTCTCAGCAAGCTCAGAAGATAACTTTTTCCAGGCAACTTTTGTTCACAATTTATTAATGCCCCTCTTTGACTGAATTCATGTTATTATCCATATATGTATCTTTTTCTTTTCTCAATTCTCAACCAACTAAGAGGTTGGTAGCCAGAGCAAACAAACAAAAGACCAAAACAGGTAGGTTGCTTATAGAATTTCTCTTCTCTATTCAGATCCAGTCTCCTAATCTCATACCTAGTGCTCAACAGAACAAAAATTGCAGCTTTCTGGATCCCACAGACCATCCTTTCCCAATTGTCCTCCTCCAACTCTTGGTTCTATCCCATGTTCCAACTCCTAATGGCACTTCCAAAGGACTGTACCTCCCAGAGTAACAAGTAGGCTGAAGACAGACTCACACCTCTCCTACTGCTTCTGAGATCCAGTCCCACTACCTCAACCCAAGGTCTGTAACAGAAATGTGCAGCAGTCCCCCTTTCCTCTCTGAAGTCATCTTCAATGGATCACGAAGTCCTTCTTTTCTAATCTTCCTTTCCCCAACACATCTCAGTAGCCTACCATCAAACACCAACAAGCATTCCTTGGTTTGGGAAAACTAGCAATAGAGAAATATGACCCCAAACCATCCATAAAACTTTGACTTACAATCTGATCTCCATCTGCCTGTGTAATGTGCTAGGGCAATGGTGGCATAGAACTTGTGGGAGTTACCAGTGAATGTCTGATTTGATTAGGTCCACGTCACAAGAAGTAACACATATTGATAATTTAGAGTAACCAAGAACCAGAGGCAAGATAGCTCAGAGACCTTGAATCCCACAAAACACAGCTGGTCTGAACATAAAATAAAATAAAATAAAATGATTCCTAATGCTATTGTGGTATAATGATCAGTGCTTTATTCTGTGTCATCATCAGAGAGGCTTCCTCCAGCAACAGATAAGAACAGATGCAGTTACTCATAGTCAGACTTTACACACAGAGAGAATCTAAATTGGAGGTCTCCATCAAAATAATGCCTCTCAGAGCTCAGTGAATCCCATGGAAGAGGAAGCAGAAAGAGTGTACGAACCAGAAAGGATGGAGGACACCAAGAGAATGTGACACACAGAATCATCTAAGCAAGGCGCATGTGAGCTCACAGAGACTGAAGCAGCAAGTGCAGAGCCTACATGCTTCTACACAAGGTCCTCTGCATATATACCATAGCTGTTAGCTTCAGGTTTTTATGTGACTCCAGACTGGAAGAATGGTTACCTCGCCCACTCTTGTGCCTGCTCGTCAGTCTCTTCTTCCAGTTGGGTTGTCAAGTTCAACTTTGGAATGATAATTTTTTTTCTTCACCTTGTTATATATCTTGTCATATTTGATCATTGCAAATCACATATTAGCAAAATACTTTTTGAAGCAGTATTAGGAATGTATGCAAGATTATAAAAGTAATTATTGAGAACAGATACATCTAACACTATTTCATCCCCCAAATGGGGCAGTAACTCATAGAAATATACTTTACAAAATGTATACATGAGAAAATTAGAAAATAGGGTACATCATTTCTTAGCTATTAAGTAAGCAAAAGCCATGCTTCAACTCTGTTGAATGAATGGATCACTTTGATTATGAACTTCTTTTCTATTTCTCTTCTATCAACACTCCCTTTAATTCATTTTCTTTTTGTCTCACCTCACCTATGTAACACTTCCAAAAAGCTATAGAAAATGCAGGGAATTTGATGCATTCTGCTCACTGTGCTATAGAGCTAGACACAATACTAGGTGCACTTGGTGTATTAATGATTCAATCTGCAGATATCATTTTGTCATCATCTCCATAATTGAACATAAAATCTTAAAACATGTGCCCTCTCCTATAGTCAGAAAATAAAGAAACCAAAGTTTTAATGCTTGTCTTCTCTTTTAAACACTATGTGCTTATTTGTATACTGGTTATGAAACAAAATCAATGTAACTTTACTTCTGTAACTGGTTTAAGAGAGCTGTTTTGCATACAAACATTGTGAAGGCACACACGGGCACTCATACGTCTTTACAAAAAGTGGCGTGCATTTGAAATTCAATTTAGGCATGATGTCTGCACTTTCTGAGATTGCATAAAAGGAAACTCTAGCCTTTCCACACTCAGTGACCTAAGTTGGTAGCT